GGATCAACAAAAGTTGAGCTCTAAGCGCTTGCCACAACATGTTGCACCACAAAAACTGTATGTGGTTAATGTTCTGGGATTATCCCAAAACGAAATTCGAGGCTTGGACATTTGTGCCAAGCAATTAGCACAATTGCACGCAAATGAGTTTTTGGTTTTGAGCAATTAAAATGCTGACAGCTTAATGCAGCAAATGCTGAAATATGAAAATGCGAAAACTATCTGACATACAGCAAAAATAACCGCAATAAATGCACAAACAATAGTTGATATAAGTGGACACGACACGCCCACTTGAAGCATTGTGTACGCCCAGTTGAGTAGATTTCATAATTAATTACAATTTTATTTAATATTCAGTTTTGTGTTTTTGGTTTTTCTTTGTAACTTTTTGCCACCCGTTTTTTGCTCTCTCTGCTTCCCCTTCTATCGTTCGTTCGTTTTGCTTGCATCTTCCGTCTTCCGTCTCTTTTTTGTGTCTCTTCTATTGCCACATTTTTTCTTAACGCAGAGATGTGTGCAGATATTGAAATCGTCACGTCAAATCAGTATGACGGTGCGAGCGCCGCCCACGCTGAACTCAACGGCGCCGCTGCACGGTTTTGGTCCACCCTCGCGGGATCCCATGTACGCATCGATGGCCCCCCTATTACCCCAATCGGCAGCCGCCCAGGCAGCAGCCGCCGGCGGCGTAGGCGGATCGGGTCTGCCCTTTCGTCAGACCTGCTCCTGGATGGATCGACACGGTCGTCCGGCCTCGCCGCCCATGGAGTACGGCGGCAGACGAAACGATCGAAGAGATCGGTAAGCTGGCATGAGTATAAGAATGTATAGAATATATTTAGTAACATTTGTTGCTTCTCTAGGGTACGTCGCGTGGAACTGCTCATCGAGCCGGGCCAATCGCTGGGCCTGATGATACGCGGCGGCGTGGAGTACGGCCTGGGCATCTTTGTGACGGGCGTCGACAAGGATAGCGTCGCTGATCGTGCCGGTCTTATGATCGGAGACGAAATCTTGGAGGTCAACGATCAGTCGTTCCTCGATGTGACGCACGACGAGGCCGTTAGCCAGCTGAAATACCATAAGCGCATGTCGTTGCTGATACGAGACGTGGGCAAGGTACCGCACTCCTGCACATCCATCGAAATGGAGCCCTGGGATGCGTACAGTCCAACGGGCACGAGGTGAGTTGAGAGATTGGCAATGGGAGGTGGGGTAAATGGGAGATGGGTGATGGGTGATGAGAGATATTAGAGACTGAACAGTGAAAAGTGGTGAGGATAGAGTGGATGGTGGAGACTGGAGAGTAGAAAATGGAGACTGAAGAGTGATGAGTAGAGAGTGGACAGTTAAAAGTGGAAATTGGAGAGTGGAGAGTAGAGAGTGGAGAGTAGAAAGTAGATATAAAACAAGAGGCAGATGGGTGATGAGAGATAGTGGAGAGTGAAAAGTGGAAATTGGAGAGTGGAAGTAAAGTGTAGAGAGTGGGAAGTAGTTAGCGGAGAGTGGAGAGCGGAGTGTAGAAAGTGAAGACTAGATGGTGTAGAGTGGACAGTAGAAAGTAGACAAATTAGTAAAATAGATGAGAGGTTAGACATTAAGGATATGAGAAAGTATATAGATTCTCTTGAGAAGAGGGGTGCATAATAGTTTATGTAATATAAAGATAATATATCCAACTCTTTTTTCCCATCTCTCGCAGAGCACGCCGAAAAGGTCAGATTGCGACCATGGTGGAGGAGAAGGCGCGCTCGCTGCTGCCACGACATCATTTTGCAAGTCTTTCATATTATATAGCCGAATATAGTGTGAAAGCAATGACCATAGATGCCTTTGTTGCCGTCTTATTAGAGATGTTAGATACGTACGAAAAGGTGAGCTAAACAGATAAACTGTAAACTCCCTTATATTCTAATCGAATCGATCATTAGCACACGCTTGTGACGGAAATTCGAGAGCTCGTCTTTCCGGAGGATCGTACACGTTACGATGAGCTAGTGTATCGCCGTGAGCGCGATCCATATAGCGTGGATAGGCATAGGGTAAGCTTGTCAAATACCTCTATATATATATGGAGAGAGCGATTACTCATTATAATGTCTGTCTAATTGGCAAACTCCATTCCTGCAGCGTAAAGGAGACCCCGCACGTGATTTGCCGGTAAGCTTTTTAGAAGATTTATTCTACGACACTGACACCATATATACCTAGCAGCGCATGTTAAACTATTGTACGACAAAAATAATTTAACTACTCGCCTAGAAACTAGTCAAAAGAGAAAAATATGAACTCTCTACAATATAATCTATATATATATCTATATCTATATCTAACTATATAACTGTGTATTATCTACTACGAAAGTGTTTCTATGAGAAATTTAATTTTATTTACATCTTATTGTTGTTGTCGCTGTTGTTGTTGGTGTTGTAATTTTTAGTTAAATTTAATTGATTAATTCTTTAATGGAAATTATAACTCTTGATTATAAGTACATACTCTATACTCTATACACAAGCAAATACACGACACTTGTCCAGACAAAGCAAAACTTGTAGTTTAATTACTCATCGTGTAGGAAACTTTGAAAGCAACTTTAACTGTTATTTATGATTATTTACGATTATTATGTTTTTGCTTAATAGTTGTTCTCTGTTTGCTCTGCATGTTTATCAATTTGAGAAACGCTTAATTTGATTCGGCTTTTCGATTTTGTTTGCCTGGCGCAAACAAATATCGATACCCAAACGAATGTCAATTTTTAATTTACAAAATAAAATTTAAAAAAAAGAAAAAAATGCAAAATGAACAACTTTGAAAATACATTAACAAATGAATCAAACAATGCAGTTTTTGTAGTTGCACAAAAATTCTTTTTTCTTCTAGGCCTAAGTAGCAGGTACAGGTAATCGCTGTGCCTTGCGCGCGCTCCATTTATCGATAGCACATCGATAGTAAGATCGATAACAGACGCCGTTCATTGGTTAGGTTTAGTTGACTAAGTAACACAATCGATTGTAATATAAAGAAATTTTGAACCATGTATTATTCAGATATATAAGTAACTATATCGCACCTATAATACTATATATATAATATACCCAAACAGCAGTCACCGATAACTCACCAAAAACTCTGCTTTAAACATAACTAGGCACCTAACGGAACAAACTTATATGTATATATATATATACATATATATTTATATGTATATGTATATAAATAGAGCAAATGCACTGATCACCTTACTCTCTCTATTTCTCTCGCTCGCTTTTTGCGACTCTCTGTCTCTCACACCCACACCCACACACGCTATCTGTGTAGCTGGCTCTATAAAACTATTGAAGGCCTAGCCGTAAATCCTTTATATCATATTTCGCTCTCTCGCTCTCACTCTCTGTCTCACTCTTTCACTCACGTTCTCTGACTCTGAATCGTATGCAACAACAACGTTCGTTCCATTCCATTCCCAACAGGTAACAGCTGACGACATGGAAGTAAGCGCCGCAACTGGACGCAGTCCCTCGTCGGACTCGGGGCTGGGCGGCATGACCGTAACGGATATACATAAACGGTACCTAAACACACACTGAGCACTCATTACTAACTAAACTAAACTAAAAAAAAAAAATAATAGACTCACTAACAAGAAATGACCTGTAATGAACTGTAACTGTTATTCCGTTAACCGTTCCGTTGATAGACCCGCACTGCAGTTGCCCTATCGGCCCATGTCGGCGGGACCAGTATTGCATCGATCACAGCATTATCAGCCAGCCACAGCCTCATCACATGCAGCTAGCAACCAATCACCATCACCAACGCCACCTTCACTACAACAACAACAACAACAACAACAACATTATCCACATCATACCTCATTGCGTCATCTGGGCGGCGTTGGAAGTGCGCGTCATCATCAGCATATTCTTCCCCATCAACAGCTGCAGCAACAGCAACTACAGCAACAGCAACAACAACAAATACAACAGCAGCAGCAACAACAACATCAGCTACAGCATCAACATTTGGGACCAAATCAATTTCAAGTCAAGCAAGCCAAAGACAATCAGCAACAGGTCAGGAATTTGCGTCACAGCTAACTGATCTGTCTCAAGCAAACTCTATTCTGGCTCTGTCACTCGCTAGACTTTCAAGACTAGTTCTCTCTCTCTCTCTCTCTCCCTGTCTTTCTATCTATCTCTCTCTATATCAGATTCAGAAATCGTTGGGTTCTCAAAAACAAAAAAAGTTCTTATAATTTCTGTTTCTCTGAAAGCCTCTTAACTCTTTCTGCGTCTTCATTTTCTCACTTTCTCTGCTCAGAGAATCAAAGAAAGAAACAAATTTTATTGCATTTATATGAAAGAAAACAAAATAAAATTGACATTCGGTACTGAAATCGGCTCTATTTGAGCTGTTCCTTATATTGTGTGTTGTCTGTTGTCTCGAGTTTGTTTATTATTCATTTTATTGTTTTTTATTTCCAAACTTTGTCAATTTACTATTCTTAATGTTTTTTCGTGTATGTCTAATTGTCCCATTGTTTAATGTTCTCTCTTTCTCTCTCTGTCTATTTTGTTTTGTTCTCGAACTATTTTCGTTTTTAACTGTTGTCTAATTGGCTGCTAAGTGTAGTAGATTAATTGGCTTTTAACTGTTTATCAAGCTAAGAAAACTTGGCTTACCAAAACGAAAAAGAAACCAAAAAATTGATTTTCCGCTTCTTCTTCTTCTGTTTGGCTTAGGAATACGGCTGTGATGAGCATAGAACTCGACGGGGCAGCGAAACCCTATTACCGGAATATGAACAAGATGCGGTGAGTAAGACATTGAGCTTTAGGTAAAGGTAAAGGGGCTCACTCTCTCCGTCTCTCTCTGTGTGTAGGAGCTACACATATCATTTCATTCCGTTCATTATCATCTCTTTCAGCATATAACTCTACAGATATACTTACCATCCAACTAACATTTCAGAGCTCAAGAACTTCAATGCAAACACTTTAGCTTTGTTACTTTATTATTAACTAATTTAATATCTATAACTAAAACACTAAACTTAAGCACTAAGAGCCTTCAACTCTTGATGGATTATGTTTATATATATTTATTTATAGTCTATATAGCATGTATGTATGTATCTCTACGTACAAGCAGTGTAATCAATACGCCAATGCAATCCAATTGAGCTCAAACAGACCGCAGACCCTTTCTCCCCCTCACTCTCCACCCCGCTCGGCTTCTCTTCCTACATTGTGTCGTGCGTGGCGCTGTCCCCACCCACAACTGGCAAATGATAGTCGCGTGGCGGCGTAAAGGGGCGCACAAAGTGTCGCCACTGATGGTGGGCGTGGTGCGGATGATGGGCCTGATGATGAGGGGGCGGTGTCACAGTTGTCGCGGTAGCCTGTTGGTGCTGCTGATGGCAGCTATTGGGCTCGAATTTCGGGCGTGGTATGCGCAATTGTTTGATCTCGGTCAAATAGGTCTCCATGTTGCAGTGCACCGCAGTTGTGTTTGTCCGCCTGTTGATTTGTTAAGTTGTTTTAATGAATCGCCTGATTTGCAGCTCTTTCTATAGCTGCGGTTCTTGTTGTTGTTTAACCAACTCGCTAATGTTATGGAGTGTGAAAACGAGTGTCGGCTGTCAACAATTTGCCAGAGCTAAAGTTAAACAAAACAACAAATCGGTTAGTACATATGCGAAATGAAAGTGCTTTGTGTGCATATAAATAGAGAAAGGTGGACAAATGGAGAAAGAGATGGATATATGTTTAAATATAGATGGTGAGATAGAAGATAGATAGATGGATAGATATATGTAGATATAGATAGATAGATAAATGGATAAATAGATGGATAGAGAGATAGATAGATAGGATAGATAGATAGATAGATGGATAGAGAGATAGATAGATAGATATATATATATAAATGATAGATAGATAGATGGATAGATATATAGATATAAATGATAGATATATGGATATATAGATAAATAGATAGATATAGATGATAGATAGATAGACAGATGGATAGATAGTTAGATAGATAGATAGATATAAATGATAGATAGATAGATAGTAAGTTGGATAGATAGATAGACTTATAGATAGCTAGATAGATCTACATGGATAGATAGGTCAAATAATACAATCAAAATTTTTATTCCATTTCATTTTCATCTCTTCTATCTAGCACATTTTCTCAAATTCCATATAAGTTTGACTCTAGCCATTTATCTTTTCATTCTACATATTTTCCTCATTATTCACTGAGGTTTACAAAAAAACATATTTAAGCACGTTTCTTTGCACAAATAAGTTCATATCTCAAAGAGATTAAAATAATTTGCTTAAACTGTTAAATTCTAGATTTATATTAAAGTTTTTCAAGCGAAGTTTTCTCAATTTCCAGAGCTCCACTAACAACAAATGAATGCGAGCGTTTACTTTCATTATTTAAAGTGCGCTGCAGCTCTTTTATATATGCATATATTTATATATATATTTTTAGATATAAGCATTGTACTTATATAGGATGCATTATTTAATGCTTAGACGGCTGCATTATAAAGTTATTATGCTTTTAGCTTGGCAAGGAGTGCACGAAAAGTGAAAGTCAATTGGCTGCATATAGAGACAAAAGCAACACCAACACCAACAGCAACAACAACAACAAACGTTTGCCAGGCATTGCCAAAAGACATGAAAATTGCTATAATTTCCGGAAAAGGCGTTCGTCCAAATCCAAAGCCAAATCCGAGTCCCAAACCAAAACGCATCTCGACTGCAAGTTCAATGTGTGTTAAATGTTTCAGCTCTGTCAGCAGACATTTGGCATGTAATGTGCCCAAGTTGCAGCTGAAGAAAGAGAGAGGGCGAGAGGCAAACTGTGTGCACAGCTGACAAGAGATGGCGATGGGACAAGGCTTAGCGGGAGTAGGGAGGGGAGGGCGAGTTTGACTACTTCGACGGGTGACCAACGACCGGCTGGAGCAAGCGAACAACCAGTTTGATTTCAACTAAAACAGACAAACCACTTTTTGTTGTTGTTACCATTGTTGTTGTTGTTGTTGCTGTTGTCGTTTAGTGGATGTCTGGGCACTGCGACACTCACTTTTTGTTGAAATTACAACGGGCTGCAAGTCCGTCTGGTGGCAACAGCAGGCAGCAGCAGGCAGAAGCCAGGCGAAAGACCAAATCTCAAAGTGGGTCATTAGAGAAACGTACTAAATAAGGTACAAAACTTTGTCAAGAGCAGGCCGTGCGAGCAGCATAAATGGAAAGTAAATAGTTGTTGTTGTTGTTGTTGTTGCTGTTGTTATTGTTGTTGCTGCATTTACGAAAGCGGCAAATAAGCAACTCGAAAAATGTTGTTTATAATGTAAATAGACGTTAAATAAATCATTTTGATGCGTAGCAGCAGCAACAACAACAACAACAAAGCCAGCCAGCCAAAATCCGGTCCGAAAAGTCAATGGCTGTAAAGGCATAATCAACACACTTTAATAGGCCCAGTTGCTAGTCTAGAACACGAACAAAATGAAGCAGAAGAAGAAGCAGTAAGAGCAGCAGCAGCAGGAGCAGCAGTTGAACTTCGACTGTTAATGAAGTCCAATTGTGTTGCACAGTGTCAAAGTCTTTGACTTGGTTTTACATTTTGTTTACAGTTACGTCGATTTTACACTAAAAGTTCTATCTCTCTCTCTCTCTCTCTGTCTTTCTAAAGTTCAACTTCTTTGCTAACTGTTTGTTTTGACCAGACTTAATTATGTGATCGCCATTCACGTCTGGCTGGCAACGATTAGTGTTTGATTTAATTGACTACGAAACGCTTGGGCGATAGCAACAAGCAGCAGATTGAAGATAATTCTTTGAGCAGTCAATTAAATGCCCTTTTGGCTAACGAGTTGGCTTTAATTTGAGGTATAGATGTAATGGAGATGATCTTATAAAGAGAGAACAGAAGATGTCGAGTTTTACTTAATGCCGAAACTTCAATAAAATCGATTGGGAGAGCAGTTTGTTGTAAAGAGAAATATAAAGTAATACCTTCTTCAATCTAACTAAGCCATATGTATAATCGAAGTAAAAATATAAAGATTATTATATAAATATTTTTTATAAAACTTTCTTCACGAAACATTCATAACTTATACAGATTTTCATACACACTTACATACATATATTTACTAGAGCTAGTTACAGTTATTTAGCTCATATAGCTACATAGAGTAAGGATAAGCTTTCAAATAAAATATGAGCAAGAGCTACTCCATATATACAAATATATAAATATTGCTATAATTATGTCAACTCTACAATAAAAAACACTTCTCAGCCGTTTATATATTCATAAAGAATGCCTTTAAACATAAACTGCTAGCTGTGAATAAAAATCAATATGAATTGAGCTTATGAACAGCTGAATACATATACCCTTTATAGCCTATTCAAGCTTAAACTGGTAATCTATGCATTCTTTAATTTACAAGCTGTCCATATTGATTTATATATATGCATATATATATTTTACATCATCATACTTTATATTACATCATTTCTATATATATAGTCATTTTTCCTGTCAAGCTTAAATTGTAAAGAAAAAACAATCAAAACTCTTTACAGTTTAAATGATTTATAGAAACTTTGTATAATTACATATACATATATAGATACTGATACTGTCATATAGATACTGATAATAGTTTCAACAACAAGACTGCATCATAACTTTTATGGAAATTGAATTTCTTCAAGTCTTATAAATTATTGACATGAATGACTCATAGCAAGCATCCGCCCTATATAAGTCCCCAACACATTCACAATGTAAACAAGAACTCTTTAGCAATTGGAATTAAGAGCGAAAGCAACTGTTTGATGTTGGCTATAATATATTTAGGTCTAATCTGGCTGCCCCTGTTTCAGCTAATGTGCAAACCTTTGACAACATCTCTACCTCGCTCCCTCTCTTCTTCTCTCTCTCTCCCGCTGTTCAACTCCCGATTTGAAACTTTGACCCACTTAAGTCAATAACATAAATATTTAATCATATTGCTCAATGCGCGCTTTGGGGCGTTTTGGCTTTGACAGCAGCTTAGCGATCGGACAAGCTGTCAGGCTTATAATTTTTGTGGGTCAACGAGCGCGGAATACTCCATGTGGCATTATGGCCACTTATATTCATATCGAGAGTGACACAATGGGCTGTTCGCATGATCTTCTGGCTGCGGGCAGACAATGGTGTGAATTGGACAGCAAATTAGCTGCTCACCTTTTGTTTGCAAAAGATTAATAGACAGCGTTAGATGGCTAAAGAAAAAAGTTTGCTGGTTCTTTTGTTGGAAAAGTTGAGGCTGACGTTGCGCTCAAAACTTTCACAAGCAGCCAGAGAATTTTCCAAGAGCCAACAATAATGAAATTGACGTCCAATTGCCCAGCCCCATTTAACTGTTTTGCCGGCTTTTCTAGCTAGCGGCTATAACTGGGATTTTTTTTTTTCAATTTTAGGTATTTTCTTTTTCATTTTTTATTTTTTATTTTATTTTCAGTCAGCACTTTTTCGAAATCCGCTTAGGGCTCACAATTTAAAATCAATCAAATTTATGACTTTGCAAACTACACAGCTTGTCGTTATATAGTATACATGGCATATAGCTGTATCTGTGTGCGTGTGTGTGTTGAGATTTGTAACCAAATCCAAGCTCAGGCAGCTTCACATCAACACATGCCATTGACCCCAATGCGTAGAGACTTGACGAGTTGCTCAACTGCCATTAGCTACGCATTGAAATATATATTATCTTACTATTATATATCACTCTATAAAGGTGCCTCTATGGCTGTGTATGTATGTCTATGCAATTTATTGGGTTATTGACTTTACGAGTGGGTGGTCTATAATACGGGTTTCAAGGCAAAAAATAAATGAAGTTATATTTTGAAAAGTTTTTTTTTACAGTTTTGAGCTGAACAGAAATTGAAGCAATAGAGTTTGATTTTAACACAAAACTCATTTTAAGTCATCTATATTTGTAATTTTTTTTATTTTTTTTATTAATTATGTTAGTAAATGTATGCCAGTTAAATAATTTGCCAGCTAGCTCTAAGACCGTGCTTGCCCACTAAAAATTGTTACGAAATTTTAATAAAATTGAACAGGAATTTACGCAATTTGATTCAGAAATCTATTTTGAATTTATGTAGATTTTATATATAATTTTAAAAAAAAATTTTCTCTTTTATATTTATTTAAATTCGGCCCTTGCAATAATTTCTAGCCAGATCTGAGACACTGCGTATTTAGTTGTAAATTGTTTTGTAAATTATAAAAATATAAATGTAAATATAAAAATTGAACAGGAATTTACGCAATTTGATTCAGAAATCTATTTTGAATTTATGTAGATTTAATATATATTTTTAAAAATTTTGTTCTTTTATATAGTTAATTAAATTCTGTCTTTGCAATAATTTCGAGCCAGATCCGAGACACTGCCTATTCAGTTGCAAATTGTGTTGTAAATTAAAATAAAAATTTAATAAAAAAAATTTCCTCAAGCTGCTTAGCCAAGTCCTAACAACAGTCAGCTGTGTTTATTGGCAGCGATTGCTGCGATTCAGCCTAAGCCTAACTGCTTTCCCTTTAGCTGACTTTTTCGACTGCCTTTTCTAGGTCGAAATGTTTAGCGGCTTGGCTCGTAGATCTTTTTTTTCCTTTCTATGTATAAGCAGAATCTAGACTTCCGTCAGCGCGCAAAGGCACACAGACAGCAAGCAACTTAATTGCAAAACCAGTCGGCACTAAAACGTATAAACAAGAAAACAAAACTTCAACTGAAGTGAAGTTACGACTGTGCGAGGCAAAAGCCGCTGGCTGCAGGCAATTAAAAAACGGCGAAAAAAACGAACATAAACAAAAGAAATTAGCAGACATAAAAAACCGAGCAGAAGGTGAGAAATAGAAGCTAATTGAATGCAAATGCAAAAGGCAAAAAACAAAAATGAAGATGATGATGATGATGGGTAAAAAATCAGTGCTTGAAGATCCGCAACTGCCTTTTGGGGTTGTGACACATGTGTGGCAAAAAGGCTGGCGGCCAAATGTTGCAAAAAAAATATATTATATCTATATACATATATAACACACACACAATGATGATATAACAACAACAACAACTAGACATCGCCTATGGCAATTGCCGCGCTCGGCCAGGCAACTTCTTTCAATTGCTGTTGCTTATTGTTTATGCAACAATTTGTGGCAAACAGAGCGCGAAATGAGCGGCAACAACGCCAAATTTGTCAACTGGCAACAACTTGTTTAGCTTAGTTTCTACTTTACTTTTTTAGCCTCTTCTACCTCTGCTAGACTCTTTATTTTAGTTTTTAGTATTTACACGTAATTTGCAATTTATACGCACGTTTTGTGAACTCAGCCGTGGTAGCTGCTCGCTGCTTCGCTGTCTCTGTGTTTGTGGCTCCGCTCGAGTTTGTCTCTCGTTTTTAGCTCAGCTTTGTCTCTCGGTCTCTCGGTGTCTCGGTGGGCCGCCAACTTTACGCTTCGAGCAACGACGCGCAACTAAAAACTGAAAATGCAGACGCGGCCGAAACAGCAGCCGACTGCGCCGTCGACGTCGGCAGCGACGCTGTTTTGAAATATACACTGCAGCGGAGGGCATAGGAGATTTGGGAGTTATTTTGATCAAGTCTTTTGATATAAATAATAAATGAGTGAATCATTCAATTGCTCAGCTGACATATAGGTATCCAGCTAATCCAAGTGTTTCTATTCCAAATGTTCCACAAAATCCAAGAACTCCAAGGAAGCTCAGAAATATCCAAGTATTTTAGGTACTCCAACTATTCCAAGGGTTCTAGGTAGTCCAGGTATTTTCTGGTATTCCAAGTATTTTAAGTACTCCAACCATTCCAAGGGTTCCAAATATTTCAAGGGTTCCAAGTTTCTCCTAATATTCCAAATAGTGCAAATATTCCAATTATTTTAAATACTCCAAATAGGTTTGTGGTATGCCAAGTATTTTAAATACAATACTCCAACTACCGAGTGTTCCAGTATTCCAAGTATTCCAAAAATTGCTAGCAATTCACATACGCATAAACAGACATGAAAGAAATCTCATTTTAATATTAAATAATTAAATAAGTATTATTTACTATATACACATAAACATATAGGTACATATACATATATTCCCCTTCCTGCTGCCTCTACTATGAACTCACTTCTACAACAGCTTGAGTTACTTTACACCATCCAAAAGTATTTACTTTCACTTCTTATAATCGCAATTCGATCAAAACTACTGTCAGAAACATACAACTCCTAGACAAAGTCTCGCTTAAATATGTTATATATACATATATCATATTTATAAGCCATACATATACATCATAGCAAAAGCGTATACAAAAGTTGTCTTCATAACTTCCACAAGTTTTTAAGTTGTTTTGTAAATAAATCTTTTGTAGCTTACTTTGCGTGTGGCTTTCTTTAAGTCACACTGCGACTGTCTGCGTTTCAGTTGCTTTTTTTATGGCTTGGTAATAAAAAAATTAAAAAAAAAAAAATTACACAGAGTGCGAGGCAAAAGTAAGAAACAACAACAACAGCAAAAACAATTATAAATGGTGCAGATTGCTGAAAAGATTGTCAATATTTATGGCTAAAAATTATTATAGATAAATAATACAAAAATATCTCTATATATGTATCTACATATACGTAACTATATCATTTTTCGTACATAAATATGCACAAGTTAGATATGTGTGTATATGTATGTATGTATGTATGTTAGTTGTAAGCTTTACGCAATGGCCAGCAGCAGCGACTGCAGTGGCAACAGCAGGAGACAGCCGCATGTATCTATCAGATATTGTATCTGCAGCTGACACACTGCAGCTGCGCCTGGCTGCAGTCGTTGTTGTTGTTGCTCGCAGCTTGTCGGCGTTTTTGTTTTGCTCTTGCATGACGTAAACAGAAAATGTGTTCAATTGCTTTGGCTTTTTTATTTTTTGGTTGTTGCTGCTGTTCGCTCGTTCGTTCGGAGTTGATGGTCAAAAGCCACGCTTGGCATTGAAAAGAGATGAGCCTCGTTAGCTGTTTATTTTCTCTTTTTTTTCACGTTTTTTCCTTTTGGGTCTAATTGTTTACATTTTTACAGTTGTTCAATTTTTCTATATATATCTATATGTTTCTACGTTTTTCTCTCTCTCTCTCACACACTCTCGTTCTGCTTGCGGACTGATGCAACTTGAACAACGAAAACAAAACAGGAACAGGTAAGCGCTTGACGTTTGCTTTGCATTCGTTTTTTGTCTGCGTCGTCGTTTCTTACAATTTAAGCACTTTTTTCAAAACTATATTTTAAACACACACTCACACACAGCCACACATGGAAAACAGCCATTAATACACACACACACACACACACACATACACATACACACAGTATAAATAACTTCATTACAAACAAAATACAATAAGGAAGCGGCTAATTTTTGCTGCGCAATGCTAAAAAACGTCTTTTCGCTCAAGCGTTGTAAATATATTAAGCGCTATTATACTTTAACCAATACTACTACCACTACTACTACTACTAACTACTACAATATATATACAACTATATACTCGTATACAATTTCCCACTGTTTGTTGTTAATACCGGCCGCTGCAGTTGCAAATGGGCTGCGGAAATACGAATTGCCTTGAGCGATTTAATTGCCGACATAATCAAAGCCAATAATTAAATAGCCCATATTAAGCTATACAAATGTGGCTCAAACGAACAATTTGCCAACTGCAGTCAAAGCTTTGCCTCGCGCGCCCCCTCGAAAGTATGCAACAGAAATTCAACGAACCAAAACCAAAGAAAGCAACATCTGTGGCTTAGCAACATTTGCTGCTTAGCAACATGCAGGGACAGCAACATTGTAGCCAGACATAGAGTTTGTGAACCAAAAATGTAGCTAAAAACCCAAATTAGAATTTAGTCAATTACAATTTATAAAAATAGCAAAATTTTGAATTTTTAAATTTCACAATATATGAATAAAAATTCATCAACATTTTAGTAAAAAAATAATATTAAAAATCTTCTTAAAAATCATTAGCTATAGTCAACATTTTTCTAGACATTTAGTAAATCATTTTAAACTTCTTTCTATGCAGGGTAGACATACATATAATCAATATAGAAAAAAAACACACGTAAATCCCCGATTAAACATATGTATTTAACTAGCTAAAAAGTGTATAAAAACGTAGCTAAAACTTATAATAAAATCATATATATATGTATTTCTATATAGACTGTATAACAGAGCGCAGTTGCAGGCGCTACAATTCCTCCCCCTCCAATGAAAAACATATCACATAAGACAGTTACCCCAGAACCCCATTCAATTTCAGTTACGTTTCCTTTTTAATCACAATTCTCATTAATTTTATTTATTTTTTTTTTTTTGCATTTTACATATACATGCATACATACATACATTTATGTTTGTTTGTGTATTACAAATTCATTTGGTTTTCCTTTTGTTTCGACTCCAATGAATTTTGTTTGTTTCTATTTGAGTTGTGTGCTCTCTCTGTTTCACACACACACTCTATCTCTATCTCTCTCTCTCACTCTCTCTCTCTCACACTCTGCTCTTTATCTTTCTCAACCTCTACCCGTTCTCCCCCCGAAATTGTTCTCGTTTGTTCATTTGTGTGCATTTCAGGGCGGCTACTTAGATGGACTACGTTCACATTTGGGTGGTTTAACACAACGTGTCAAATCATGGTATTGGGGACGACCTCTTGTAAGTGCCAATGTATTTTTCGTTTAACGCAAAAACTAACAAAAACCAAAAAACAAAATGAAAAGTAAACTGTAACAAAACAAAAACCAAATCAAAAGCAAATAATAATAGTATACAAAGAAACAAACCACAAAAAAAAAAAAAAAATGAAAAACATGAATTGTGTCACAGTTCTTTGCAATGAATGTTTGAACGAATCTTTTTTGGAATTTGCATCTCGTTGCATTTTCAGCGCATAAATCAAAACTTTTAAGCCTAATCTAGTGTTGTTGCCAAACTGTTATTTTATGCTCTGTCTCACTATATTTCTCTATCTCTCGCTCTCTGTCTACTAAATCTCTAAATCTCTCTCTATCTCTAAATAACTAACCAATTAACTAACTAACTGTTTTTGTATGTGCCTTGCAAGAATTTGCACCAAATGCGAGTGCAAATATTAAATAAAAACTAAAAAAAAAAAAGAATACTTAAAATAAAACTTAAACTCAATGAGATTTGCATTTCAATTTGTCTGTCACCCACACATACACACAAAACTTTTTATGTTACGTAATTGTAGGCAATTGTTTGCTTTAGTTCTCGAATCTCAACAACACCTCTCTCTCGCTCTCTCTCACTCACTCTCTCTCTATCTCTATCTTGTCACTCGTCATTCGTCTCGTCTCGTCTCTCGTTTCGTCTCGTCCCGTTTCGTTTCGTTTATTGTTTCAATTTCAACTAATTGCTTGCCCATTCACACTTGACTTCATTTAGAATATTAAATAAAAAAAATTAAAAACGAAACTCAAACGTAAATATTTTTCATTCACATTTTTTCATTTTCATGTGTCCGCACCTAAAAAGTTTTGTTACTAGAGAGTTTTGGTTTTTTTTTATTAGTAATTGTCAATGTAAGTATGTTAATTAAAACAGAAAAAGCAGCAGCAAAAATACAAATGCTATAAACTAAATCTAAATAATTCAACACGTTCAGCAACAAACTCAACGCAAATTAAAGCGACCAAAAAAAGGTCAAATGCAAAGCCAAGAAAAAAAAAAAAAATGAAACCAGAAAAAAAGCTTGAAAAATACATTTGCACATTTACGCATGAGTCAACCTAATTTGTTAACACCCTCCAAAAGAAAACCCACCCAACCAACCACCAAGGCATCGACACATGCAAAAATAATAAAAAAGAAAAGAAAAACAAAAATTGATTTCTACTTCATCAACTTTTCATATTTTCTTTTGTAGTATTTATATCCTGTAATTAGATTTTCGACTTTCCCTCATACTTTTGTACATTTGCGTTTCTAGTATTATATATCCTATATTTTTGTACTTACCTTAGCTGCTGCTGTCCTCCACCCACACCCACACCTACACAACCACACCAACACACACACACATACGTACGTTCTCTAGTTGTAGCTCTAACTCTTAGATAAATCACATTTGTAATAAAAAATACAAGTTGAAGTTTTAGTTAGCGCTTTTCTAACCAAAAATATATTCATATATATAATCCCTCTAAACAAATTTCACTTAAATTAGCAAATTAGTCTTGTTGCAAATCTAGCCAATCAAAAATCTAAGTGTCTTAGTTGCCAATTTTTGCCAATTTAGCCAATTTGCAAGCCGTTTTTTTCGTACACTCTATGAATATACATATATATATGTACATGTATCTAACACACATTTTGTATGGCCTATATATGTATGTATATGGTACAACCTAATACACACACACTGCACTTGCATTTTCATAAATTGCACTCAGAAACACACACACCCACACACACATACACTAATTACATTTTAAGCTTAGCTAAAAATGACGAAGAAGAAGAAGCAACGATTTGTATTATACACATAATATGTGTATGTCTCTTAATTGTTATCGATCAGTTAATTGATAACT